AGAGAGAGAGAGAGAGAGAGATTGAGACCATGAAAATCGTGCTGTCCAGCAGTGGAGTCTCTCTATGATACTTCTCATTAGTGTTTGAATTTGGAAAATGTCCTTTCTCATTTTGAACCCATAGCCCTCAGTTTGGAAACTGAACCATGCTTATAATCAACTATGATATCTATCCCTTGGGCTAGTTTTAAAAAAAGTGAGTTTAAAATTTATCTCAGGAACCTAAAAGCAAACTTATTTTTAGACATGGCAATCTAGCTAAAATAAGTATGATCAGTCATGTATTGCTTCAGGATGGAGATTCATTTTGAGAAATGAGTCTTTAGATGATTTCATCCTCATGTGAACATCACAGAGTGTGCTTACTCAAATGTAGATAGTGTAAGTCAATCACTCAGTCAGGTCTCCTGATGCAATCAAGAGATGTAGAAAACAAGATGTATGTGAAGCTGCTGGTATAACATATGGCTTCCCAGCAAACTTTTGCAAGAATAATACACTGTAAAACGAGAGTGAAAAGTACAGCATATTATATACATAAACCACTACCAGAGTTGTTTATGATCCTTATTAAGTGCTGTGCATTCTACATAGTTATACGCTGTATAGTTTTATGTGACTGGCCGTATAGTAAGTTTGTTTATCCCAGTATCACTGCAAACGAATGAATAATGCCTATGTTGCATTGCTATATCACTGGGAAAGAGAAGTTTCTCAGCTCAGTTGGAATTTTTCAGGACCACTGTTGTGTGTGTTGTCTAGCATTGACCAAAGCGTTATTATATAACACATCACTGTTTTGTTTACAACATTAATAGTCTCTTGCAGTTTGACTTAAATGCACAGGAGTTAACTTTGGAAGAACTAAAAACAATTCTGATATATTTTGAGTTTTCAAGTACCTTATTTTTAAGAAACAATTTATAGCTGGGGAAATGGCTTGTCATGCAAGTGTGAGGCCCTCCAGTATATGTAAAGCCAGATATGATTGCATGCCCCTGTAAACCGAGTACTCCTAGAATGCATTTCTCTCCTCCCACACACGTGCATGTATGCACAGATGGTGGCACACGCCTTTAATCCCAGCACTCTGTGAGTTCAAGGCCAGCCTGGTCTACATAGTGAGTTCCAGGACAGCTGGGGCTACAGGGAGACCCTGTCTCAAAAAGACCAAAGAAAAAAAACAAAACAAAACATTTCTTATAAATATAAGTGATGTGCTGTCTAATGCTAAGGTGGCTACAGATTAAGGACACTTGGATTTTAGTCTCCATCTACAATCTTTATATTTAAAATTTCACAATTCATTACAAGAATTCTGAAAATTTCCAAATGTTTCTGTAGTTAGACATTTAAGCCATTTATCACAATACATAATGCTATACATAAAATAGCTGTGTCTACAATCACTGTGTAGTACTTTTGGCTTTGTCTATGTATCTGAACAGGCTGCCTTAGCTGTCTGTTTAAGGGCATCTTCATCTCATCTTTCTTATAAGCCACTACCATGCAAAGAGATGCATGCTTTGTATATGCAAAGCCATTTGAATTTCAGCCCCAGGAAAAAATGGTTCATTTTTCAGTGCTAAAAATGTCATTATGCATGTCTTCCAGGTTATTTGTATCAGTGTCACTTTATATTAACACGGTTACCCCAAAGTCAGTTGCATTCTGGATTGAAATCTAGACTCAGTTTTTTTGCCCATTTGTCAAAAAGATATGGGATCCTAAAACTCCAACTGTTTTGCTGTTCTAGAATGACTGGAATGCATAAAGATAAGATGAACTGTAAAATTTCACGTTTTAAAGAACAGTAAGAGGAATTAGGTATTTAGTGTCAGAGTGGAAGATGGGAAGGGTTTTGATCATTATCATCCCATTCTGCTTTCACTGTCTCATCTGGATTAAGATACTATTGATTGGGCTGTGGGTATGGTAATAGCTCAGTGGTAGAGTGCCTACCTGGCATATGCAAAACTCTTGAGTTGGCTCCCCAGTACCACGAAAAGGAAAAAAAAATGTGGCAGCTGATTAGAAAATATGCCCCTATTTCTGTGATATTAAATTGTTAAAAAATGACCCTAAAATGAGAAATGTAATAAATACAGATGCTTTTTGTCCCAGGACCTCTGGAGAATATTGGTTTCCAGAGAGTAGAAGCTTCATATGCTGGGTCTATATTAGCCCCTCCCAGCTCTGCTTCTTACCTTAACTTCTGACTTTCTAAAATACTGCTTTTCACTAACATTAAGATGATCTTTCACTGTGTGTCTGAGTATTTCAGTGGGATATATTGATTTGGACTTTTAGTATGAGAATACAATAGTCTAGATTTAGAGGAATGCACACGTTTGAAATGGAATAATGCAATATAACATGGTGTCACCGGAGTTCTCTTAGGGGTCTTTGCTCCTGGTGCTATTAGACAAACCATAAAACACAACTTTATCTGAATTTTTCATAGTTTATATCCTGGGTAGGGGAAATACAGTAATTTATAAAGGGGAACACCCTGGCAACCCACACCCTGGGGGCACCCTGTTCTGTTCTGTGGCTCAGCCGACCGCTGGGGCTTCCAGGTCGCTTCCTCTCCCCACCCACAGTCTCCGTGATCCGTGCTATTAGACAAACCATAAAACATAACTTTATCTGAATTTTTCGTAGTTTATATCCTGGGTAGGGGAAATACAGTAATTTATAAAGGGGAACACCCTGGCAACCCACACCCTGGGGGCACCCTGTTCTGTTCTGTGGCTCAGCCGACCGCTGGGGCTTCCAGGTCGCTTCCTCTCCCCACCCACAGTCTCCGTGATCTTTTGCCCACACCTGCCTGGGCCCTCAGTCTCACCCCAAGTGGGTAAATGCCCTCTCTGGCATTCTTCCGGGCAAGATACTGGGGCCATTTTTTTCCGTGCTGCTCACTTCCAAGATAGCACCCATGCTTCCCCCTCCCTGGCTAATTCTCCGCAGCCAATTCTTTGCAGCAGGCCCCACTCCTCCGAGGACCATTTACCCCTGGGACACAGATGGCCTTTCTTCTAAACTGTTTCCAAAATTTACCTCTGTTCTTAAGCTCTTCTTCTGATGGTGTGTAACAATCTCAACAATAAAACTATTTTGAGTATTCACTGTACATAAAACATGCAGAGTTAGTTGTGCTATAAACTCAAGTCTTTCTGATATTTAAAAATTCTCATTATGTAGGAAATAGACTATTTTTTTTTGCTAATTCTATCAATTCACTCTTCATGCTATAATCAATAGAGATACCAATTTATAATAACCTGGGGGAAGAAAAGAGATTTGACTGAAGTGGGGTCCCTAACCTTCTCTTTTTTAAACAAGTTGTGTGACATACAGGACCTGGCGATGGAGCTAGTAAAGCCCACCTTCTTCCTGCCTCACCACATAGGTGGACAGTGTCCTTGTGCAGTGTTAGGGGAGGTGTAGCTGGAGCAGGGACATAATAGGCTAGGGATTGAAGGAAATAGGAATGATCTGGGACCAGAGTGATGTGGGCTGTGGCCTCACCTTCTGGGTCAGAAAGAGTTAAAGGACAGCTCCAGAAAGTCCTTAGACACTTTTCATTTTAACCTGCTTTTAGACTATTTTATAAGGGGAAGTTTAATTCTGACTCCTGCCATGGCTGTCTATCCTATGCCTTCCCAGAGCATAGCATTCATAACAAGAGAGATGGCAAGCACATTTGTGATTATTCACATACACCAGTGTGGCTGCTGCAGCTATTATTAGGTAGCTTTCATGTTAAAATTTCTATTATTATGACATTTCAGTTTGGCATTTCAGAGCTTCATCTCTGTCCCTTCTCGTGTGTTAAATTTCAGTGACTCAGATATCCCACACCAGAATGATGTGAGACACGAGGAATAAGAAAAAGAAAAAAATGGAATAGATATAGTCACTGTCCTCAAGGGTCCCACTGTCTAGGAAGGAAGAAAGAATGAGCCCAGAGAGGGAGCTAGCACAGCACGGCAGTCAACAGCTTTATTTAACATACAAAACAGAACCTGCCCCAGGCCAGTTAGGATTTGATTCATCCTCTAGGGGAGCTAGCAAGGCACTATAAATTTCATGAGACACTCAGGTGAGAGTGGGTTTTTGTACCCAGTGCTCTGTTTGGACTCAGGGAGTACAAAGCTTTCATACCATCTCTGCCCTTAGAGAAAAGAATTGTCATTTAGAGTACAGCAACTGGGGGAGGCTAGCCATCTGCTGTGTAGAAAAGGCCAAAGAGGTTTCTGTAAATTGAATTAGGGACTCCTTCCTCCACGTCTGCATAGTGATGAAAAAAAGAAGTAAGTCTGGTGTTTTAAATGCTAGTCTACAAGGAGGCTGTCTGCCAGTGCTTGAACCTCCTGCTAAATAACTTGCTTTTGACTTGATTTAATGTTATCCTTTTAATCTCTCCAACTTTGTAGAAATGTCATTAGAAGTTCTAAGATTTCTCTGAACTCTTCCATCTCTGGGGATGACATTTTTTGAGACAGATGAGATTTAAAGCCAAGATCCCTAACCTTATGGAGGCTGTTAGGCTCTCCTGAGTTCTTCATTCCCATTTGCTGTTAGAAAAAACTTACAGAAGTCAAATCTATATATGATGTAGACAAATGTAATGTCACAGTTCAAGTATGAGTTGACATCTGCCACAGTATTGGCCCAGACACACCACAGGACAGGGAATATCCCTCCATAGGGCATTTAAGTCAAGATGTGCAGTTTAAATTTAAATTTCTCAGTGCTGAATCAAGTCATGCTCCCTTGTTTTTCTTCTAACCAGTGACAAACAAGTCAGCGCAGGGGTTGAGCTGAGGAGACAAGGAACAGCAAGGAAGAATTGTGGACCTAAGCACTCAGAAAGTTTTAGATTTAATTCATTTTTGGTTGAAACACAATACGAGTGTTAGGCTTGGTTTCCCCCTCTCTAAAATAGCACTGTTAATTTTTTCATTTGGTGAATTTTCACACAAGTGCTAATCACATGTTTCTATAAATTATATTAATTTAACTTATTTCTCTAAACGTTGTTCTGCAGTGTGCAGCACGGATGTTCTCAGATTCTTGGCTGTGTATGCTTGTTGCAGTTGGAAGAGGGACAGAAACATCTGAAAGACATTATTTGGATTAAGGATGCTAGAGCATCCAATCTCACCTTGTGCTCTGACTCCTCTGGCTCCTCAACCTCAGTTCTTCCTCCTTTGCATTTAATCTGCATGTCCTGCCCCTCCATCTTTGACACTGCTCCAGGGCTGGCTTTTTTTTTTTTTTTTTTTTTTTAAAGAAAATATTGTTACTTTTACAAGCATATGTTTGAGTGAAATCTTCTTGTTTGTTATGAAATAATTTAGTTTTCAGAGGAATGACATTTTTAAGTTTAAAGACAAAATTGGTGTGGACTATGATGTGACCCTTCTTGTCTCTCAAAAGGAATATTCATGTAATTGAAAATATCTTGTTTTCTTCTTCCTTTCAGAGTATGATTTCATCCATTGTAAATAGCACATATTATGCCAATGTGTCAGCAACCAAGTGCCAGGAGTTTGGGAGATGGTATAAAAAATATAAGAAGATTAAAGGTAAGCCAAGTTTTTGTTTTTGCAGTCTATTTGAGGATTTTTAAATCAATGAGTTGTTGCTTATTGACATGAATGGTAATTTTAAATACTGTTTATATATTACATATATTCATGAAGGTAAGACTTAACAGTTCTATCATGTGATTTAAATCTTAAACTTTTATAAAACTAACATAATATTAGTAATACAGGTAAAATTCTTAGCATAATATATCCAATTTGTCATTTTCATCAGTGATCTCTGTAAAAGCCAAAAATCCATTAAAATGGAAATTTAAAAGCAGCTATATTCTGGGTTAAATAGCACTTAGGATTTGGCTACTGATTAACAAATTGGAATGGCTGTCAGGAATGTTTGGTTAGAAACAGTTTTGATATGTTTATTTAGAGACAATTCTAGAACAGTGTAAGACAAATTTCCTATAGTCTGGTGGATTGAATTAGGATATTTGTCTTCAACTTACTAGATGTGTAAACTTGATCGAATTATTTAGCTTTACCAAGATTGAATGTCTTCATTTAAAAATTGGAAATTATAAAGATATCTAGGTCCTTGGGAAGCTATGAGGATTAAATAAGATGATACTGATGCATTTCCTTCTTAATTAATGGCTATGATACCATAATTATAACAGTAGTAGTAGTAAGTCCTTATTTTGCAAATTGTGACATCATCTATCAGGCTTTGTTACAGGTGTTCACAACCATGCTGACAGCTCACTGCCCCCCTCTGAGGGCCACATGATAATTTATGGTGGACAGGTAGAAGTAAAGCTTGAATTATTTGTTTTACTACTTGCAGGTTTCCTCAGGGGACACAGGGAATTGAAATAGTGCTTTTGGCTTTTGAGTATTTGAGAGTTTGTATACAGGGTTGCCTTTTGAGGAATTAAGCTTTTACTTGCATTGGCCACACATTTCACATTGAGAGAGAGAGAGAGAGAGAGAGAGAGAGATATTGAGTATGCTAAATATGCAATTTAAATATGCAATTTAAAAGGAAAGTCAAATTGTTGATCTACCCAGGAATAGTTAAGTGCAGTGCAAACTGAATTAAAATCCCCCCTTTTTTGCAACACATTCTAAAATTCTTTGAACCCTTTGGATTCTGGTTTGGCTGCGTATTTTAAATATTAATATTCACCACTATGAATGATGAGTAATGTCTCATTATGAGGCGTGACTGTGTGGCTAGAAGGGTCTCTCTTCTCTAAGTGTTGTTTCTATTTTTTCGTTTAAAATAGGATTATTGCTTGGACATATCTTCTGGCTAAAAGTCAAAAGACTGCATAGTTCCAAGAGGTTGTTTGCTAGGTGGCATTTACTTGCTTTTATAAGTAAAAGGAAGAGAATGTCTTCTTTCCGTGTGCTTGAGTATAATTCTAGATTTGGAAATCCTGGAGACTCTTCATTCTAGTGTTTTCACACTTGCCACCACACACACACACACACAGAGAGAGAGAGAGAGAGAGAGAGAGAGAGAGAGAGAACATGTGTTATACAAGTACACATGTGCACATGTGCAAATTAACACTCATGTCTTCTGCTCTTTCTTTCACAGTCAGTTCTTTAGGATCTGTTAAGCTCAGTTTTTGTTTTTTTTTTTAGTTTTTAAGATAGTAAATGCACAGTTAAATCTTTCAGTGTCATAAAAGCAGACAGGCTTTGATTTCACTCAGTAGGTCAACAGTCCACACTTGAAGAGGCCATCTTCATTATGTACACACATATTCAATGGAGCTAGTCATCGTTGCTGGAAAGTGTGTGTGTGTGTGTGTGTGTAGGAGGAGGAGGAGGAAAGGGAAGGTTAAGGTATGTGTGAAGTAAACACAAGCTGCTGTAAAACAGTTCAAGTGGTGTTGATTCATCAGCCCAGGGAGTGGGAGGCAAAACAAAGAATGCATGACAGGTATAATGGTGTACAGAAAACAAACACCCAGAAAATGCCTTTTATTAGCTTTCAACCTTCAGAACATAGTAAGTGATAGAGCTAGCTGAGGTACATTGCATTTGCTAGAAGCTTCTTGCTGGAATAGATGGTGCTGTGGGAGTGCCTCTCTAGACCCTCTTCTCGTAGAAGACCATGGTTTGGTTTGGTTGTAAGGTATGTTCGTGTCCATCCATTTTCAAAATGAACAATAATGATTCAAATCCGGTAATTCATAGCAGGGAAAGTAGAACTGTAGCTTAGGGATCTTCCCAAGACCCCAGAACTCTGAGCTGCATGGGGTACCTGCTGTCCTGCTTCAAATTCTCACCTGGGTTACCATGCACAAGGACAGTGGCTTATGTTCAGTGCAGAAGGAAATCGCCAGCTAACTCACTGATGTCCTAAAAGAAATGCAGGCTGTGTTGCTAAATATGTTTCCTATTATCTGTTAATGTCTGTTCTAATAAAGCAGTGGGAACTAAATGGTTGCTTCTTAATCAAAACCATGATTTCCTAAACACAAGCTATGTGATTCTGTTACAAATTGCCACATAGAGATCTCCTAGGTCAATTTTTTTTCTTTTCTCATAGAAATAAATAAACAGTAAAATAATTATATACTCTGAAGATCAAAGTAAAATATGACTAAAACCTGGCAAAAATAAAAGTCTACTGGAAGGACTGAAAAAAAGATCAGATTGCAAATTCTATAGTTAACGCTTAAATAAATATGAGAAAAATGAACAATCAATAATTTGATATCATTAAAAGCAGATGTAAAAACTATATACAAATGGAATTGTCTAAATTTTGAAGTAAACATTTTAATGTGCATTTTTTGAATTTGTTGTTATTATAGCTAAACTATTTACACTTATTCTTTAAAAAGCCCTAAATTGTTTTGGCTTAGCATGTTAACTTTATTTTCCCCAGTGATCACAGCAGAGATTGTTCTGTTTACCTTTTTTCTTTAATTTCAAAGACAATCAAGGTTGACAGAGACATATTTGAGTTAACATTAGCATTACTTTGGGAGAGATGAGGAGACAGTTTGTATACTCTGGTTTCAAGGTCCCACCATGAACCTGCATCCCAAGAATTTTTATTACTGAGGAAGATGGAGCAGTGGGTGGCATGTTAGGTTGATGTAGACACCATTTTTTAAATTGCCACTTACCTCACATAATCATTGCCTATGGCTAGATTTTCAGAGTAGTACCATAAACTCTTGAATGTAAGGAAAACAGTGTACCTTTTCTGTAGAAGAAGGAAAGAGCAGTCATATAATGGTCAGGGCTTTCATTAGTATTGGGCATAAAGATAGTCCATAGAAACCTAGAAACATTTATGCTATTGTAAAATTGTTTTCAAGGTTTTGGGATTATGAGGGATTTATTTTATGAATGTTACTTTCATGGTTCTACACAAAAGAATTATCTTTTGATCCAATTATTTTTTGTAAGAACTCTAGATATGAATTTATCCCATCGTTTTTGTGAGGCTAAGTGGCAGTCACGTGGGACATCACTGTGCTCATGGCATTCACAGGAGATGCAGTAACAGTAAGGAAGTGCTTTGACAAAGATATGCTCACAGGTCTTGAATAGATCTTTGATTAGTAAGTTAAAATAATTTTCTTTTTTGGTCTTTTTGAGACAGGGTCTCCCTGTAGCCCCAGCTGACATGGAACTCACTATGTAGAACAGGCTGTGCTTGATCTTATAGAGTGAGATGCTCCTCCTGAATGCTGGGATTAAAAAACTAAAATAGGAACTAAAGAGATGGCTCAGTGGTTAAGAACACTTGCTGTTCTTCCAGAGGACCTGGGTTCGATTCCCAGCACCCACATGGCAGCTAATAACCATCTGTAACTCCAGTTCTAGGGGGATCTGACACCCTGTTCTGGCCTCTGTGGTCAATGCACACATATGGTACACTTATATACATGCAAGCAAAACACTCATACACATTAAAAATATTAAAAATTAAAGTAATTTTAATCTAAAACTTTTTTTACTGAAAGGAAAATAAATTCCCACCTTTGGTGGGATTGATCGTAATATTTAACATGTCTCAAGAATTGAAGGGTCATTCAAAGTTCACTCAAATACTAGTGACTATCATAAAATCATTTATGTCATAGACTAATACCACCAGAATGAATGGACCTACCAAACCCTGCATTTTGGTTAGGGTGTAAAGTCATCCCCCTCACTTTCCCTTTCTTAATCATTGCTCAAAACACTCTGATTACTAGTTTTCTTAATTTTATTTGTTTATTTGAGCCTATTTTGCAAAATATTAAAACGCTGGGAGAGAAAAGAGGAATTTTTAAAAACCAGTGTTGCTCCACTCAGCCTGGTTTATTCTAGTAATCAGTATTTTATCTGACCCTGTCTAATCTAGTCTTGCAAGATCAAACGTCCAGGCCAGCAAGCAGACAGTAAACAAAGCCCATGAAGGGTTTCAGTAAACACAAAGATTAGATGTTGAATGAAAATTAAACTCCTTGAACTAGTCTTCTGTACTAAAGTGGTTAAGTGGGTTGTGATTAAAAGAAATAAGTAATTATGATCATTATAGCTGAAATGATATAATGTTACCACATTTAAAGCACCTCTTGTACCCCAAAATGATTGTGTCATTTACAAAGTGGTGCCTCAGAGTTGAATAGAGAAATCAGTGTCTCCTGACCTGGTTCAGTAAAGCAGCCCTTGCTTTGCCACAGTGGTATCAGTGGTCAGGACAATGCCTTTAATCAACTCTCTGTCCTGCTGCCTCTGTTGTTGTTTAGCTCTGATGAGGCGAAAGTAACTTACTTTTGTCTACCTGATTCTTCTGAGTTATGAAAGGAATTTACTTTCACTTTCCGGTCTAAATGAAGATGTCTTGCAAGGAAGCTTGCATTATACCTTTCAGAAAGTAATACCAACATTAGGTCCTTTGAATTTTGTATAAATATTGGAGTCACGAGAATAGAAACATTACTTCCACAACTATTTTCCATCTTACTGGTTTTCAGACTTGAAAGAGCCTTGTGCATTTTCATTATGGCCATATCTGACATGTG